GGTAAGCTCCGGCCTTATGGGCCACTTGGCTGGTATTCAGACTTACTTTACTTTACCAGCTACAAACCCATGCCGTCAATTAGCAGGAAAAAGACTTTGGTTCCGCTCAGAAAGTGCATGTCTATAGATCAACCTCGTTCCAGGGCGCTTTTCTCATCAAGTCGTTTGAGATCGAGGGTTAAGATCCCTAGCTAGAATTCAGGTTTTCACTGAGCTGAAGTTTGCTAAGTCTTGATGAGAGCTCTATCATGAAGAGAAATTAATGGCTTTAGGGGTTCCGAGAGACATAACTATAAGGATCCAGCAGGAGTTAATTCGGCATCTGAAAACGAGAATTTACTTTTTTGTCTGAGTCACGGTTTAATAAGGCAAAAATTAGGATCCAAGATCCAAAGTAACAATATCAAGGTCACAGGACTCCACTGAAATATATCTGTGGGTCTTGCACCTTTTTGCTCCCCGTTACAAATGCACAAACTGCAGTTCGGCTTAAAACTTCTCACCATGCTAATCACCAATCCCACATTCAGACAAAACACCACATGAAATTGTATTTTTGAAAGATAATAAATATTTATTTTCTTTGAGCTGTGACAGCCCTTTCGAGCATTCGCCTCGATATTAATAATATTTGCAATGTAATAAATTATTAATATTCACATCAATAAATAAATATTTTATATATAACTGTACAATATAATTGTTCCACTGGGAACTGACTCGACTGTGTACACAGTACTTTAATTTATACACTTCATGTTTGTGTCCATAAAGCGTTCTTGTTCGTGCTTTATAAGCTGCAATTTAAAACTTAATTCCGTCTGTGGCAATATATATAAGTGCTTCAGGCTAATCTGTCCTTTTAGCTACAGGCGTTTAAAACAGCCACGTGATAAAGAAACATGCAATGAAGACGAGCAGGTTTGGTAGTAAGCCATAAGCTGATCCCACCGGCTTTATCTCAACATCTGGGTTGGAACAGCCCATCCAGTAGGATGCTACATCTCTTGGGTATGGATTCACACTGTCTTCAAGGACCTTCACTTTGTCATCATCGAAAGCGTAGTATTGGCTTCCCTTGAAGAAGTAAGACCTGCCATTTTTCCATTGAAACACTGCATCGATATCATTGGGAATTCCCTTCCAAACTGATATAGACCTGGGATATCCATCATCGATCTTGCCCCGCGTTCTGTCGTACCGCCAATAATAGGAACCTTTAAAGAAGTAAGTTTTGCCATTTCGTTTCCATTCCAGCGCAGCGTCAATATTGGCGAGCTCCTCGGGCAGTCCGAGTTGCGAGATGTCAGCGGGACCATACTGTTTTTCTTTGTTGTGGTACACCCAGAACCTGAGCAACAAAAAGAAAAGTTCGATTAGAAACGTCGACGTGCAATGATCTTTAACTTTTGAGGATGCTATTTCGTTTGCGATTTAATTACAAGTCCTTTAAAACTGGATAGTATCTTACCTATTTCCTTTATGGAATAACGTCTGTCCAAAGGACCTGATTGTGTATGCAGCATCCATGTTCTCTTCTAAGTCAGGCCAGTAATCTTTGATCTCATATGGACCTGAGGCGCCGCCCGTGTCCTTGATTTCCCAGAAATGCTTGCCACTAAAGGCGTATGTTTTCTGGTCGGCGGTTGTGACCACTGCGTCCGGTTTGACGTCACTGCAAGTCTTGGGGGTGGGGTTGGGCGATGGAGTCTCTGGTTCGACACCTGGGAGACCTGTGTAATTAAAGACGAAAATTGTTTATTTAGTCATTGATGGATGAACTGAGAAAGAAATGCAGCTTATTATAATTAAAAAGTAAAGTGGTTGCAACGAATGGAAATTCGGTACACATGCAAAATTAATGACAAGATCCTTTCTACAGAAGCTGATATTTTTGTGATCATGATAGAGGCAAGACTTAGGACTCCGTTTAGCCAAGCGTGTCTATTCAGTCGGGTGTAAGGATACTAATAGGAATGCTAATCTTACCGTATAAGCGTTGCACTCCTTGTATATCGTCACTATCCAGCTTCAAGTCGGGTTTATATCCCGTGTAATAAGCAAACATAACCGAATCAGGGTGATATGTGTGGTCAAGACCAAGACTGTGTCCCAGTTCATGCACGACCAGCCACAGCAGATCAATACCACTCCCGCCTTTAACAGCAAACGTGTCGTCATCGTCAATATGTACGTCACCAGCCAGGTCTTCATCATCGGCCCCAGGGAAGAAAGCATGTGCTAGTTCGGCTCCAGGACCGTCCGCTGGTCTGGTGTCGCCATGGAAACCTCTCACGAAGTGAATTCTGATGTCCGCGTGCATGTCTGGGTTGTCCTCCCGCTTGATAGTGAGACCGCTGGCACTCGACCACATATCAATGGCTTTTGCGATTGTATTGTCCACTTCTTCCGCTGGGATATCGGATGTGTAGTTTTCGACTCTGTAAGTGAGTTCCTGCGAAAATTGAAAGTAGAAATCATTGTTAATTGGTTCGTATATGACTGAAAGTTCCCTGAGTAGAATTAACGGAATTCCCCTCAGATCTTAGTGAGGAAGAGAGCAGATACGAAAGTTAAAAGACCAACAAAGGCCAAGCAACTTTGTAACTTTAACTGAGAACTAAATTAAATGGAACGAAGCACACACAAACCAGGTGACTTACATTTTTCCTCCAGTATGTTCCTTGCAAGGCGTATCTTCGCTTACGTCGTGCATTATCAGATGGTCCTAAGTCAGACACTCCACATCTGTTCGCTTTCACTAGCGCTAATGTTCTGGGATCAGAAAAGTCTCCCGTCTCATTTAAACCCGCGTAGCGTTGCATTCTTCTAACAGCGGCTTTGAATTCCTCCATTGTGGTGACTTTTCCGATTCTGTGATTGGGGTTGCCGAGATAGCCGTACTTGATGAGATAATCCTGTTGGCAAAAATTAAATACCCTTGAGCTCCTCTCTCCTAGCTTTGTCGAAGTTATACCAGCAATAATCGATTAAATTGGGAGGGAATATAATCTTTGATTATTATTATGCTTAAAATCGAGGAGAACATGAAGATCAGTGACATCCGAAGGAAATTGAACTTGAAGTTCTTCTGACAATCAAGTGAAACACACCCATCGCCTCGTAGCGGTGTCATGTAAGTCATTGCACGTAAATTAACGAATCACCCTCGTATGTTCCGGAATGACTTAAACACCTTCAGTCCGTCACGCTTAAACAGAAACGTAATCGTTGTAATCCTCAACTTCCCGTATTTGTTAACATTTTGGATTAATAAGATTTCTTAACCAAAAGCTCGTATCCATATCCTGAACTTGATATGTAAGAAACGTACAGCGATGAAGACGCAATATGTGATAAATGATGATCACTGCCGCGAACACTGAGTTCAATGACCGCGCACTTTTTGGGGTCAAAGTCCCGCTACATACGTTTTTTTTTTTTTTTGACTCAAGAGAAGCTGTTTTTGACACATGTAACGAACAAAGTGCGCATTGACCATCTGTTTACAGTCGGAACACCCTACTGTTCAAAGAACCATGTCGTGATCTGCCGTGCCTGACTCAGTGCGTGATCACCTCAAATGCGTGAATAATTACTACAACTTCATAAGTTATTGCATTGAAAGACTTATCACTTATGCATTTACTCACCATAAGCTCAGATTCCCTTGCTGGTTCCACGTCAGGGTCAACGGGCACTTGAAAAATCGGTTTTCCGTTTGCAAAGTTTACAGCGACGACTGTTAGTAACAGCATAATAATTCTTACTTCCATGCTTGAGGCTTTCAAATAGGTTAAGAAGTTCCAGTCAGTTAACTTTCTCCTTTCTGTTCAGTTAGTTGTTCTAACTGTGGATCTTGGAAGAACTGTTGAAGTCGCGTTGATCGCACTCCTTTTATACCTTAAAACCTGGTGTTGATTAGATCTTCTGACGTCAGCAATGACGGCACAGGGCTTGTCTCAGGAATTCCGTAAACACGTTGTTCCGACCCATTTCCTCTGCAACACAATTCACAACTTGCAAATTAAGCCATGAAAATTCACCGCAAATGTGTTCCTTTATTTTACATTCATTTTGAAAAGTACTTTTTTGGTAAGAATCACAGCTCTCCAGAAAATGCGATAATTTCTGGACCTCCGAGTAAGCAACAAACACTTGTGTGCACGGCCAACATATGGAGATTAGTTGCTAGGGTACAAAAACACTCCGATTATATAGATAGTGCGTCAAAAGTCTTGGTTATGGAAATTAGCCGTCACTCAGTGGCAAGTGTCGCCAGTTTTCTATCATCAAAACAGCCCATCCAGTCAAAACAAACTGTTAAAGGGCAGCCGGTGTTTATCTAGTAAAATCGTTTAATAATACGGTAAAATACTCAAAGCAATCCTTGTTTTTCTTATTCAAATGTGTGGGTGAGCGTGACATATTTGAAATGTGGGAAATGTAGTTGTCTTTATTGTCAAAGGTGTTACGGGCTTGGCTTTCTATTCCATGATAATCAATTTGTACAGTCTTGTGTCTAAGACTGCTTCAAAGGGAAGTAGTAAGCGTCGGTTTTGCAGAACAGTTGGGGCGAAAGACGCGCTTAGTTGCGCTAAGACTGCCCTCGTGCGGTTGCAAACTGGTTACGCAACAATTAGTGAGTCACGACTTCTCTAACCCCGCCAGCTGCTCAATCCGGTTGTCCTCTTAAGGGATTTTAGGAACTATTTGGTTTGTTTAATAGATCGCTGCATCATTTCCTGATTTGCTTTTCACTACAAATGCAAAGCAGCAAAAGATACCACTTTAATTGTAATTTCACCCAGCAGCTTCTCGATATTTCGACGTTGATTATGCGAATCACAACTACATATGAACAAACTTTTGTCTTATGGTCAATCAGCCGTCAAAAGAATTCCACGCGGCCTGAAAGAATAGCTGCTTACAGTTCAATACGTGACATGACATCGATCTTATAACATACGATATATTTTATCCCTTTTTTTCCAGTCATATGCCAACTTGCAATGGCTGGGCCACAAAAATGCAAATATCTACAGCAAAACACAACAACAAAAGGAGCGGATTTGTTGTTTTTGTCGGCTTCAAGTTTTCAGCTAGATCAGTTCTGCACGTTAGACAGATTTCGCAAGATATACCTCTACTTTGAGAGCCAACCTCTTTAATTCCATTTCGAACTGAGCATAAAAAAAAAAACAACATGGAAAGGAAAAAATGTGCTCCAGATACCCTATGATATTAGGTTGGCGGGAAAAGATTATTAGAACGTACGTGTCTCAAGAGTAGCCACAGCGTATTAAATCTGTCAGGTGACTGGTCGCGACAAAGAAACCACGTAAGAGGCAAATAACAAATTAACCTTTCTACTTGATCTTTTTGGGCAAAGACAACTACCCTATTAACACCACACCGAACCATAACTGGCTCATTAAAACCGATCAAATTTACGTCGAGATGTGTTTAGTACCTTGGTTTTTCCCTTACGCGGGACGCAGGTTTACAAAATTACTTGATTATCGCATCACTCGATATCTAGAAATCACTTGGTCACGTTCTCTGGATGTACATGTCCTTTTGGCGTGAACAACATTCTTGTAAATTCAAAGTATTAGGTCTCAACACGTTTCACTGAGGCCAGTGACACGAAAGGAAAGTGATACTGTGCGGTCACGCTTGAGGCCTGCGCCATTTAATTTTTCAAAGAGTTCCATTTCCCAGCGAACAATATTTCGGAAACAGTCTACTTGTCTCTCAAATGAGAGGTTTTGGCAAAGTGAGTTTGAAAATACAGCGTAAACTTCCGTAGAATGAATGGAATTCTTCAGATGAAATTGTAGGGCTGTCGGTTTTAATAGATTTTCAAACTTGCTTACGAGAAATCTTTACGCATTTTCGAGGGTGTGTTCGGGTATAAAACCTCCACGAAATGTAAAAGCGATACTTATAAAAGCAAGACACCTCATCATGTAAACTTGTCTAGCCATGTTTGGTCACCATTACAATGAAAATCGCACGAACATTTGAACATTGTTTTCAACTGGTATAGGAGTGGTACAGTCGCTAAGCTGCTATGGTGGCTTAGTTAATTTGTTATTTTCAGATTTTCATTAACTTGCCAAAGAGTTGAACAATTATATTTGATCTCCTGGTTTCCAACAGTGGCACACCCAGTTCAGTTCATGATAGCGTGAGGGAGCCTTCGGACTATCTTGTATTCACAGATAGTCTTAATTGCATTAATCCAGTTGCGTTTTAATCCTGTTTGTTTACCACGAAGTAATGCGATTTAAATTTGCCATTCTATTCTATCTGTTACTGATATGCCGTGACAAAGCATGAGCTTCTAATCCCATTCCCAAAGTGATTGATGGGCCGATCAACCGTTTTCAAGTTTTGGCAGTTACGTTCTTAATGCGGAATTCCTGGTTTTTCAAATTAACAGAGAAACTGGCTCATTAATTTCAAGCCATCTAGCATTTTTTCTATGTATTGAAAATTTTTTTGTGTGGTAATATTCGCCTCAAGACTTTGCACACGTAAGCCTCTCGTGCTTCGGAGTTCAAGTACTAGGTACTTTAGACGGGTTTATCATATCTGACAGATTTTGTCAACAGATTTATATATTGGCTACTGCGACCAGGTGGCTCAATTCCACGTAGGCAATATTGGTACAAACTTATGCTTGCTGAGTTTCACTGATAACCAGGACGAAATACCAATATGCGTGGGTCGTGTAGCAACGGCTACACGAAAATAAGCCTCATGAGGTGGAAGCCACTGACTCAAGAAACACTGAACGTTGTTAGAAGAATCAGTCTGAAGCGTACATCGGCCTTTCTTGGTAGACACCTTAACCGCCTTAAAATTTCCTTTTGTTAGTTTCTGTGGCACATTTCGCAAAATGATTAACCCAAGGCTGAGGAGTGAATCGAGAAGAACTCGATACGTTCTCTGTCCACTTCCCAAGAATGCACCCTGTGATTATGTTCAACTGAACACTTCTACACGATTATAAAGGCGTTTCTTGGATGAGCTAATTAATTTAGTAAGCTGGCTAATACAAAGATATCACGGTTACTGCTGTCGCAAAAAAGTAGCCGAAAACCTTTAAAGGGTACGGCATGTTATTGTGAAGGAGTTCCAATTCCCAGTTATATAAAATGATTATTACACGAACGATACGCAATTACAACAAGGACATCACTTTAATGTTAGGTCAAGAGTTTCGTGCAGGGGCGATACTGATTTAAGAATTGATGACACTTCTTGTTAAGACTAGCTTTAGATTAAAATATATCAGACCTTTCTTTCCAGATACATCCTATTTGCCGAAAATGATATCATAGTTTAATATAGATGCAGGTTTTTCGGTTCTTCGCGAATCTTTTGACAGCGAGTAATTTTGTGTGGGTGAACCATCTGAACCAAGATTAAGTTTAATTACTTTCGAGGCCGTTCACGGCCGGGTAAAAGTTGCCAAATGAATGTGCCAGAAAAAATAAATTGACTCATACGAGTATCTAGTAAACAGCCTACTTTGTCATGCACCATCAGTTTAGACTTAATCACGAAAATTCGGCGTTGACTATGTCAAGCCTATAACTGCCTCGGCGAAATGTCTCGACAATTCGTAGCTATACGAATATTAGTGATGTATGCAGTAATCAAAATCAAAATTTTCTGGACCTTGAAACTAATTCTTTCACAATATTTACAATGTCTGTGTTATTGGTAATGCATGTAATGTAGGCGACATCTGAGCTGATTTCCGCCGTTCTGCGATTTCATCCCGACTTTCACAACAAAACCTCTTGAAGTGAAGTTGGTGATTACAGCCGACAAAGATTCACTCCGCGCTGAAATTAAAATTACAGTTTAAGAAATCGGGCTGAAATTTTCAGCCTAGTCAAACGAGTTTTTCTACTGAACTGGAATGAGATTTTAGCCTGGGTTGAAAGACGATCAGGGCATGATATGTGTATATTGTGATTGTGTTTTCACGAAACTCGGAGATATAGCGTGAATTTTGAAATTCATCATGTAATGGCAACAAAATTCCTGTCCCCTTTTCGGGCTGAAATAACAACAGTTCTCGATCATCAAGCATGTCCCTACACAAGGCCACGTTGATTTTAATCACCCTATAAAATGCCATTATTGCCACTACAACTGAATTCCCT